CCACTTAACTCTTCTCTACATTGATTGCATTCATTATTTCGACAAAAGATGCACCATTATTGTTTAGAATTTCACCCCAAACAGTCAGAATTGTTGAAAAGGCATTGTGAAATATTTTGTTTTCTATAACTGGTTATGAGAATCATATAATGTCACACGGCCATGATTTTGGATTTCTGCAAAGAGCCAGATAGTTACGAGATTGGTTTCTGTGTGTCTGGTGTTAGGGCTGTGCTGGAGAGCCGGCTGTGGGGGGTAACTCGTGACCTCAGTAGGGCGTGAAGGACGTGCTGGAACCGCCCCCTTTCCCATGAGAATGCAGTTGCCCCGTCACTGCCGGCTCATACCTGCCTTTCCTATAAGCTCTGAGGCGGTGGCCACCTTGCTGCCGGTGGTGGTGGTGGGGGGAGGCAGAATGGAGCAACATCCTTCCCCTCTTGGTGGGAAGGCATGGGAAGGCATGGTGCCGTAGTTTAACTCATGGTCCATTCACTTTTCTTCTGCAAGCTGCTGGGCTCTGGACTAAGCCATTTTGCCTCTGGAGCCATAGCTGTGCCAGAGAGTCTCTTGTGGGGAGCAACTCATGACCTCGGTAGGGTGTGAAGGACGAACCGTTTACCATCCCCCTTCCCATGAGACTGCAGTTGCCCCTTCACCACCAGACCATACCTGGCTTTCCAATAAGCTCTGAGGTGACGGCCACCTTGCTGCCATGGGGGGGAGGGGCGGGAGGCGAAAGGGAGCAACACACTTTCCCTCCCGGGGAGGCATGGCGCTGTAGTTTAATTCATGGTCCATTCACTTTTCTGCCGCAAGCTTCCGAACTCTGGATTAAGTCCTTTTGCCTCTGGAGCCATGGCCGTGCCAGAGAGCCGCTTGTGGGGGGCAACTCGTGGCCTCAGTAGGGCATGAAGGACGAGCCGGTACCACCCTCCTTCCCATGAGACTGCAATTGCCCTGCCACCACCGGCTCATACCTGGCTTTCCAATAAGCTCTGAGATGGCGGCCACCTTGTATGCAGTCCAGATGAATTTCTGCCAAAAGCCACTGGGTTTCAAGATTTGTTTCTGAGTTTCTGGTATCATGGCTATTAATCAGCTTGATCAGGAGCCACAGAGGCCGTTTGTAGGCAGCGACTCAGGGTCTCGTTGGGATGGGGAGAAAGAGTCGATGAGGTGAGATGAGACCCCATGTGTCTCGTCACTGCAGGCCCAAACCTGACTATCCAGTGGCCTCCGGAGGATGGTGGTCACCAGGCTGCCAGGGAGAACAGGCCAAGGCATGAAACCTATTCCCACCTGGAGTGGCCCAGCGCCAGTAACCTACTGCAGGAACAGGACACATTTCTGCCAAAAGCCTTTAGGTTCCGAGATTCGTTTCTGAGTCTCTGGGATAATGGCCAATAAGAAGTTCGATCAGGAACTAGAGAGGCCATACCTCCAATTATATAGTGGAGCCGAGGTGGTTTGTGGGTGTGTCTCCCAAATACCTAAGTTTTGACTGTTTACTTTCTTGGTAAACTTTGCCCCGAGTTTTTGGGGTCTGTCCAAAGGCACAGCAGCAATTTTGGGGTATCTGAAAGTCTGACGTTGCCATCAGGCTGCTGATGCACTCACCTCACAGGTACAGATTGACCGGCTGGTGGCACCATATCCCCGTTCATTTTTCATAAAGTAATTTTCATATATATGTGTGTGTTTCTGCAATTTAATTGTGCAATCAATACTAAAGTGGAGAACTCCACAAATTCCTGCTTTAGAAATTACCTGAAGCCTTAGGATGTATTTATGTGTTTGTTAGCATGGAGTTTATCCAGGGTGCTGGCTGACAATATATCCTGTGATCCCCAATGGAGGCAGATCGAGTTTAAGTTGGTGGAGATAGATTTAGAATTTGGTGTGAACTGAACAAACTCTATTGTGGTCTACTCATAAAAATAGCTCATCTCTGCATCAAGTCTTGTGTTAAGTAGATCACATGTTGTATCCATGCCCATACTGATTAACGGGATTATATTCATCCACAGTGATATCTATTCTTCAAAGTCTAAAATAGCATTCTTTAACCAGCATTCAATGGATCTTTTCACAGGTACAGATATGTTGAATCCACCATTCTAGCATCATAAGAGTAAATGGACAGTACTGACAGGTCATAGATCTGCTTACAGCAGAGGTGCTATTTCAAAGGTATAAAAAAGGTTGCAAATCAGTGACCTAGAATACCCAAACTAAATGCAACTTCTAAAAGACAAAAAGTGTTTTATGGTTGGAGAAATAGTACAGTAAGTCAGGGGTTTGTCTTAGATGTAGCCAACCTGAATTCCATCCCCAACATCCCATATGGTCTCCAGAGAACCACCAAGAGTAATTCTTAAGTGAAGAGCCAGACGTAACCCCTGAGTATAGCTGGGTGTGATGACCTGCCTTCCCTGCAAAAACCAAAAAATTATTTGATAGCTGTAGCCTTAGAGAATCTCTTCACTTTATTCTCACTGTGATTGCTTTTGAGTATGCCTCTGACTATCTTATATGTTTGTCTCCTAGATATCTTCCTATCTTAACCCTCTAAAAGACCTGGGCATCAGAACCTTCAGAATAGGACAAGACCAAAGATAAATTTTTCCCATACCAAGACCAAAGTTACTGATAACTTGAAGTGGCAGGGAAAGCATGGACCATACAACTGCCTTAGGAGAGGGGGACTATGGAGCTCACACTCATCCTTCTGCTCAGAATTTATGCTACTCTCCAACAGAGACCTCTCTACTCCTTTGGTTTCATCCCTTCATTGACAATAGACCTCTAATCAAGACATATTCAGGAGTGTCCATATATAAGGCAATATCAACATTCTGTCACTGTCCTCCCATTGTTCATTGATTTGCTCAAGCGTGCCCAGTAAAGTCTCCATTTTGAGACTTGTTGTTACTGTGTTTGGCATATCGAATACGTCATGGGTAGCTTGCCAGGCTTTGCCGTGCAGGCGAGGTACTCTCGGTAGCTTGCCGGGCTCTCAGAGAGGGGGGGAGGAATCAAACCCGGCTCAACTGGGCTGGCTGCGCGCAAGGCAAACACCCTACAGCTGTGCTACCTTATCCTTAACCTAACCCTTCAGCGTATAAATTCCATATAAAGCCTAAAAAGCAAGCATAGGGAATACAGTATTCCAGCTTGACTCATAGTAGTTTTCAACAAAATGAGAAAACAGAAATGTGCTACAAATGATGGCAAAATGAAATCTCAGAAAAAGAATGAGAAGCAACTGAATCAGCCCAGGTCGAACTGGTCTATGGACTGAAAACTATGGGACCTTCTTGTAATGGGGATGGAAGATTCCTCTTTCTACCATAAGTTATAGTAGCCCCCATCACAACCCACAGCCTCTGGTAGAGAAACAGCCCAGCTCCACAAGTAATCTTGAAAAGAATAAAAAGAAGAAGCTGAACTTTCAGGGCCTTCTTGGTAGGGGGTAGGCATAGGAGCCCCCAGACACACTAGACCATTACTGGCATGTAACTTGCCCAGCTCGACAACTGAACCTCATCAAGCCACAAATCAATCCAGCTCCATAGCTCCTGGAGCTCTGGCCACAGACACCTCCAAATTTTGTAGTATTGTCGGCCCAAAAGGACCACAGAAAATCTGATGCGAAACTTGCATAGAAAACCAGCAATCCCAGTGAGCAAAACCAATACAGAAGATACAATTAGCACCAATCAACCCAGTAAATCCTCAGATCATAACTTTAGTAATACCATTGCAAGACATAATAATTATCAAAAACATATTTTATTGATCTGAGTATTGATCATTCCATTTTCCTTCGTGTTGGAATTATTGCTTGTGCAGCTCCTCAGCCACCTGGACTGGGTATCCTGTGGGAATGCTTCATGGAATCCTAGAGGCAATGCTTGGAAACTGAGTCTAAACAATGGTAATGGAAAGAAGGCAGGGACCTAGTGTTTCCTGGAGAGCAGTATAGATTAATTAATGATGAATAATTTATCATTAGTGATCCTAGCATTAATAAATTCTGATAATCATTGGGCTAGAGCAATAGCACAACAGGTAAGGTGTTCGCCTTGCACGAGGACAATATGGGTTCGATTCCTCTGCCCATCTCAGAGAGCCTGGCAAGCTACCGAGAGTACCTTGCCCACACAGCAAAGTCTGGCAAGCTCCCCATGACATATTCGATATGCCAAAAACAGTAACAACAACTCTCACAATTTGTTATAAGATGTTACTGGTGCCTGCTGGAGGAAATCTATGAACAATGGGAGGATAGTACTACAGTGTAAATTTATCATTGGCCAGGTTTGGGAATGTGGGTTTCCTTTGTGTATGAAACCTTTGAAAGAGTAGAAACTTAGTTCCTCTTTAGAGACCTCAGAAACTCTGGGCACATATTTCACCAGGAACTACACAGAGACCATGTCACCATTTATTTTCCTTCCCATTAATCTTCACTTTCACCTCCCCTTACCACATGCCCTTGTACTGCATGTACTGCATTTCTTTTGTTTTTATATAATCACTATTTGTCCTGAATAAACCTGTCTAATGGCCATCAGTCAGTAGCCTGTGTCTGTGATAATCAGTCACAGGGAGCAAATCAATTGGCTCCTTGTACCAGGTCACCAGTGCACATCTTTTTGTTGTAATAAGCAATATGAAGTAGATTTGTTTGAGTCTGCTAAGAGAGCAGACTTCAGTGGTGGGTTAGAGACATTGGTGGAGGGAAAGACACACAGGTGGTGGAATTGTGTTGGAACATTGAATACCTGAAATAACTATATGATGAATAACTTGGTAAATCATGAGTCATAGTAAAGAATAAAATTATAAATTTAAAAAATAGTGCAAATTCAAGGAACATTTCAAATATTATCGAATTGAGAAAAACTTAAATCTAAATGCATGAAGATTTACAACAACTATATAGCAGGGTTATTCATAGAGCCAAGGTAAAAAGGGCAGGTTTATGTCCTGGTTCCTCATCTAAATGTGTCAATGTGTCGAGCACCACTGTATACCAGCCAACAGTAGTATTCAGCCTCATCCTCTGACTGGGCCCCCGAGATTGTGAGGGCAGCTTTGTTCCCAAGGATGGAGCCTGAGAACCTGGCCGGGGTCCAGGGGAGTTTTTTGTTTGTGTCATAAATCATTGTTCTTGGAACTTGACCAGACTTCTGCTGAAACCAGTATGGATAGTGACCATCAGTGACTGCTCCAGTGCTGGAAGCACAGGTGAGAATGACTGTCCCTCCCGGGTTCACGGTCAGTGAGGGCTCCTGAGTCACCACAGCCTGAGAACTGGACCCTGAAATGGAATCAGAAGTATGTCAAGAATGAAAATAGAAGTCAGAGAAGTTCTTCAAAGGTTGGTCACTGAAATTTTCACGAACCTGGGCAGTGAGTAAGGACAAGAAGGACGATGAGGAGGACTGGATCCCTGCTCATGGTGCAGACTTTCAAGGACATTCTGGCCCCATAGCTGACACAGGACTCTGGGCCCTCTTTTATGTCCCTCTGACCTGGGGGGAGGGTTTGTGTTGGGTGTGCTTGCTGCAAATCTCAGCCATTTAGCATAAATATCCTCCCCTAATTCTGTGTCTTCAAGGCAGAAATAATTCTGGGGTGGTTTTTAACTGGTTTATTCCCTTGGGAGGAAGCACCTGTTGGCATTTCTTCAGTCTGGACATGCTGCAGGCCTTGTTCACTTCAAAAGCAACAGTGCCCCCTGTTGATATCTCAAGATAATGTTTAGTGTAGTTTAATCATTCAGAGCAAAGTGTTTTTTGTTTTTAATAAGTGTTTTTCAGTCTTTTAAAAGATCCTTTATCACTATGTAAAACCAAATTCTATTTTTTTGTTTTTTTTAAGCAGAAGTCATTCAAAATATTGCTAAGATTCAACTCAGTACCCTTTGAATACCCATATCACTCTGACTCAGTCTTTGCTAATCCTTTTGATACTTCTTTATTTCTTTTCAATATCTTTCTCAAAGTTTTAATCCTGCCTAAGTGTATACCTATCCTTGCACCCGTTTAGCAATTATCACTTATGTAATTTCCTCTTTCTTTGTATTCATAAAAAGGTAAAGGTAAAGGCCCTCCCGTTGATCGTCGATTTGCTCGAGCGGGCCCAGTAACGTCTCCATTGGAGACTTTGTTGTTACTGTGTTTGGCATATCGAATACTCTCGGTAGCTTGCCGGGCTCTCCGAGAGGGGCGGAGGAATAGAACTCAGGTCGGCCATGTTGGCCGCTTGTAAGGAGAACGCCCTACCCGAACTCATTTTATTTCATAAATCTTTTTTATTGGTTTTGGGTGTTCATCAAGGTGACATCAGGTTTATTGTTAAAAATCTTTGTCTTAACCACAGCACCAAAAAGGAGAGAGAGAACAAAAGGGAATGCCCTGCCACAGAGGCAGGCTGGGACAGGGCGGATGGGGGGGTGGGAGGGATACTGGAATCCATGGTGGTGGAAAATGGGCACTGGTGGAGGGATGGGCACTTGATCATTGTATAATTGAAACCCAAGCACAAAAATTTTAAGTCTACAACTGTACCTCATGGTGTTTCACTAATAAAAAATTTTTAAAAATCTTTGTCTTGGTGTTGATCTATAGTTCAGTGGTGAACTCCCCCCTTGCATGTGACTGATCAGGGTCCAATCCCCAGTATCTCATACCATCTTCCAAGCTTGCTAAGAATGATCCCTGAACTCACACCAGGGAGAAAGGCCTCAGTATTTCCTGGCACAAAAGGTTTTATAGGCTAGTATGATATTGTGTACAGTATAAATATTAGGTCTGGAAAATCTGTAAAACCGGCAGAGGAAAGAGAATACCTTTTAATTCTTTTCCCTATGTTGAGATGTTAGAAATTTTCATTTATAGAAAAATGCAAAAATATATTGAGATTTTTATATATGTTTTGTTTTTACCTATAATTCGGTGTTTTGATAATCTTGATCATTTGGTTATTTGGTATATACTTTAGTTGCTCTTATAATTTCTCCATCTTTTCATTTTCAAATAGTTGACATGCATTGGACTTTTTCTATACTATTGTGTGGTGATATCTAATTCATTTTTTACTTTATAGTTCCCTAAATATATAGGTCATAAGTTCCTGTGTTTATTTCTTATCTTATATTGTGAATACCTAGCAATGTGTTAGACCTATTTTTAAATAGTCATTCATGTTCTCTTGCCTCGATATTGAATAATATTGAAATGAAACGTCACCTTTGCCTGTTCTGGTACATTAAACTTAGATATTTCCTAGTATGGATGTAAAATGTACCATTTTGATTGACTAAATCAGTGATCCCATTACATCATAAGGACTCCAGTGTTGGGCCCTGGTTTGGTTCATTTATCTTTTTGTTAGTTTTAACATATGTGATTAATCAGAAGAAATCAGAAACAATTTTATTTGCAGGCAATTAGATTCAGGTTTTTCAGTCAATTTAATCAACACATTGATATGAGTGATTTTTTTCTGAGTTGATCTGCAAGTGTGCTTCCTGAATTATCCTGTATGTGTCATCTTCCATCACAATCTTTCCCTTTGATTTGGCCATTATGCAAGATTTTCTTAAAAACTAGAATGGGAGAAATAATATTAATTGCAGTGACCACCAGGGTTGAACACAGAAAACATTTCTGTTCTTTTCCTATTTAGAGGCTTGAAGGGAAAAAAAGGCCCTATTTGGATGTGTTAGAGACCAACCTCCAAACAAGAATAAATTTTTCTTAAAATAAGAAAGACTGAACCAAAGATTGGAGACTCAGTTCCCTACCTCTACTTCTCAATATGGCGATGGTTCAAAAGACCCTCTGTGGCCTACTACTCATTCTGCCCTTGGACTGATCATCTTTATTGTGATTGTGATTTTGACTTCATAGTGGAAGGATGGAATTTTCAGGATCTCTGATTCTGACTGTGTATAACTTCTCTTAGACCTTGGAGAAGTTGAGATGATACATTTTCTGTTGGACCCCATTGACACACGGAGAGCAGTGTGAGCAACACTCTGGATTCACAGGTCATTTACTTTTCCTCAAGACAGTGACGACAGATGCATGAAAGTGGCATATAAAACTGCACGAAAAATGGCTCCTAAAACTCCAAATACATGGATGACATCAAACATAGGGAGAGTAGGCAGCCACGTTCCCATCTGTGGCCTCACTGAGAAAGTCTCCTGGCAACTGTGTTATCGGCCCCTATAAGAAGAGGAGAGAGATACTGAACGAGGTGTACTCCCAGTGTAGAGACATCCTTTCATCTTTCATTTGCTCACTCCTGACAGATACTTGACAGCCCTAACTTAGAACCACTCAGGAGAAATTCTTTCAGCCATTGTGGCTGCACCCTGGCGGGACCGCACACACCCAGGGCATCACTGATGTGAGATTCTCACAGCAGGTGATCCTGCAGCTCCTCACACGTGTGCTTCAAGCTTCCTCAGATGCGTGCAGTTTCCTGAGTTTCCCCTCATCTGCCAGGGACGTCCATGTAGCAAAGAGGCAGATTATTGTAGTATTACAGGAGACTAATTTTGAGAGCAATGACATGTTTTCAGCTTCATATGAGATACAAAAACCACAAGATATGTTTTGGAGAAAAAGGTAAAGGTAAAGGCCCTCCCGTTGTTCATCGATTTGCTCGAGCGGGCCCAGTAACGTCTCCATACATCATGGGGAGCTTGCCAGGCTCTGCCATGAGGGCGAGATACTCTCGGTAGCTTGCCGGGCTCTCCGAGAGGGGCGGAGGAATCGAACTCGGGTCGGCCATGTTGGCTGTGTGCAAGGCAAACGCCCTACCACTGTGCTATCGCTCTAGCCCGATGTTTTGGAGAAACAATTATTAATAGCACTGGAAACCACAGAATCTCAATAAAAAATTTAAAAAGTAAAAGGATAAACAAAGCAAAAATATCTATTTTTCTTCTCAAGGAGGATTTGAATTAATAATATGACCATTGTGGAACCTGGGTTATCTGTATGCAAAGCTTGTGCTCCAGCACTTTGGTTCCTCTCCAAGGCCCAACACTGGAGTCCTTATGATGTAATGGGACCACGATTTAGTCACCCAAAATGGTACATTTTGCATCCATACTAGGAAATATCTAAGTTTAATGTACCAGAATAGGGAAAGGTGACGTTTCTTTTCCAATATCATTCAACATTATTCTATAGTTATTAGAAAATAAATGAGAGACAGTACAGAGGTAGAGAATTTGCCTGACAGGAGGCTAACCCAGGTTGAGTCTCTGGCAACCCATATAATCCTCTGACCATAGAGCCTGACCATAATCCCCGAGAACTGCCACCCCCTCAAAAAAACAAAAAGAAAATTAAATCAAATGCGTGGTGTCAGTGGTGACAGTTAGTATTAAAAAACCTAAAACTTTCTTAAAGATCAAATACTGGATTAGACTTACAAGTCAAGTGCTACTACTAAATGGCAAAGTATATGTCCTCAACAAGTTATTCCTCACTTGCAAACTACTACTGGTTACTGGAAGAAATTGATAGCCACTCTCAGAGGTGGTGAAAGTTCACATGTCAGAGAACACAGCGTTTGTCACACCCTCCTTAACCTATTTACCAGTTATGAAGTCCCATTGATATCTTTGGGGACACGACATTCACCGCTATTGACTACTGAACCTCATGTCTTTCAGACTCTGCAATATCTAATCACACACTGAACCCATTCTCATGTTTCTGTCATGAAGAGGAGAAAAGTACCTTTTCAGAACCACCTGGAAGCAATGCTGTCTCAAAGGCAATTTTCATCTCCATAGAAATGTCACATTTTTCAAATGTTGGTCTCTATCCACTGTGACTCTATAAGCCTACCCACACCCCAAGTGCTGTTTCAGACACTGCATGTGACATTTGAAGGGATCAGGAAGGAGAACAAGAGCACACACCCAGGGTGACCTAACTTCTGTGCTCCTCAGGGTGGGCACAGAGTTGTGGGAATAAAAGAGACTGAGCAGATAGCACAGCGGTATGGCATTTGCCTTGTGCGCAGCCAGCCCTGACGAGCCGGGTTTGATTCCTCTGCCCCTCTCGGAGAGACTGGAAAGCTACTGAGAGTAATCTCGCCCGGAAGGCAAAGCCTGGCTAGCTACAAGTGACATATTCATTATGCCAAACACAGTAACAAGTCTCAAAAAATGGAAACGTTACTGGGCCCGCTTGAGCAAATCGATGAACAACGGAGAGGACAGTGTTTGTTTGTTTGACAGTTGAGCAGAAATGTGATGTGGAAGTTGAATCTAAGCTTGAGTCAGTTGCTTCTCTTGGGCGAGGAGAGATATCCCTCCATCAGAGGTTGAGGTCACCGCTAAGAAAAGAACAGAGGGGGAGACTGATTGCTGGTAGGTCTGGTGAAAAAAGAGGTGGACCAGGTCTGGTGAACAAAGAGGTGAACCATGTGAGTCTCTGGCTATAGTACTTCCAAAT